GAAGCCAGGATTTAGCGACAAGAGAGAGCGCTTTAAGCTCAGCCGGGGAATCAGCGAAGTGGTCGATGAAAAGATCGAGGATTTCCTGAGGAAGCTGGGACATGGAAGAGGACTTGATAGAAAGCTGTTACTAGGGCGCGCGCGGGACGTCTACACCAATCTACATGTCAAATCAATGTCCCATCCGAATACATTTTGACGTGTGGATTGGTGTAAAGGCCGTGTCGCGTTTTAAGTACTAGATCTGGAAGCATCGAATCCATCCGTTATGGCGAATGGACCATACGAGTCGCGACTATCAGAATTTTTAGATATATTCGCAGCTCATCGAAAGCTAAGTATTGTTCCAAGGAAATAAATAGCGTTAGGAAGGAAAGGCATAAACAAGCAAGCAAAGAGTGCATGAGTGTATGTATAAATGTCATCTGCAGAACAAACAGAAACCATCACCAGCGTTCTCTATCCCACCAAAAATCAGCTTCTCCCGGACCAATTCTCCCTGTCCTCCATGTCAATGGCCAATATTCCTGGGCCAAATCATCATTTCGATTAATTGTAATGCGTTCTACAGGCCCACAAAGCTCAGAAGGACCAATGTTAAGATAAGAATGAAGAATAGCATCGATGCTTGGGCAGTAGGAAGTCGGCCATAATCCACCTTCAAGAAGTTGAATGTGCAGGTGAAGCCCATGTTCAACTGTCTGGGCTGGAAGGTGCACACTGTCGTTCTTGGGATATTCTAGTAATTCTCGCATACGGTCATAAGAAGTTTTGGTGGCTTTAGAAGGACCAAGTACGGCTCTGCAGAGAATTACTATCATGCTTTGGAGGTGGGATACAAAGAGTTGCAAATGAGTGAGGGAAGGAAGGGATAAATGATGGAACTGGACTGCGTTGTATTCTGACAAGTCACAAAAGCACTCTCCTTAAGCGTTTAGTTAGTTAAACGGTATAGTAGTAAGTATAGGAAAGGGTACTAACCAAGGTGTTCATATAGAGTAAGGTGCTTGAGATTTTGAAGACACGATGGTTTATCAAAAACGGAAATCAAGACATGTTCTATCGTAAGATAGACCAAGTTCTTGAACGTGAGATGATTGTTTTCGAAAAGCACAATCTCCAAAATATGAGAGGGACAGCCATTTTGAAGGCAAAATCGTGACATTGCAATTGGTGCAATCAATCCATGGGTACCAGGCTTTTGAGCGTTTTGGCGAAAAGTCGCAACATCAAGGTCGTTATATATAGCCACATATAGGCGTACAGAGAGGCAGAGTGTTTCCAACGAAGGTGCATACGCCGCTATGCATTCCAAAAGGTCAAGGCATGTAGACCCGGTCGATGGAATTATATCTACATTCTGCAGCGATAGGTGTTTTAACCACAACCTACTGCTCTGCAGGATGTCTGAAAAATTGGCAAGAGAAGATTGGGAACGCAAGCGGTCAACATTCAAGTCGTAAGAGAGGAATTCAATGCGGTTGGATGGAAGAGCAAATAGGGCGCATATGTGGGCGTTGAGAGTGGGCTCAATGCACGGTCCATCATAGTTGCTAGTTAATACCTGTAACCTGCCCTTCAGCGCGGAAGCCATCCTATGTAATAGACTTTTCGAGTCCCTTCTTTGTTTCAACAGCCTAAACATTCCGCTCCCATGTCTACCCATTATGACAACCTTGATACAGCGCACGATTTCCGGGGTGTGGAGAAAACCTTCGAATGCTTCCGCCAGAGCTGCCATGCGATCGGCATAATCCTGCTCGCCTTTCGATGACGAATAAGACGGTAATGGTGCGATATGAAGGCGGCGGAAAAGATGTTTCCTAGTGCGAGGAAGCCAGGATTTGGCGACAAGAGAGAGCGCTTTAAGCTCAGCTGGTGAATCAGCGAAGTGGTCGATGAAAAGATCGAGGATTTCCTGAGGGAGCTGGGACATGGAAGAGGACTTGATGGGAAGCTGTTACCAAAGCGACGCGCCAATCGACATATCCAGATGGGACTTATTGCCGTTTGCAGGCTCGTGTCGCGTTCCTAAAATTCTAAGTAGATCTGGATGGAAAGCATCTCATAGACGTATCGAATCCATCCGCTATCGCTAATGAACCATATGACTATTAGAATTTTCAAAGATATGTACGCAGCTCATCGATAGCTAAGTATTGTTCCAAGAAACAAATCGCGTTAGGAAGGAAAAGGCATAAATAAACAAGCAAGGAGTGCATATGAATGGCCATCTGCAAAAGAAACAAGAAACCATCACCACCGCTCTCCATCCCACCAAGAATCAGCCTCTCCCGGGCCAATTCTCCCAGTCCTCCATGTCAGTGGCCAATATCCATCTTTTCGATTAATTGTAATGCGTTCTACAGGCCCACAAAGCTCGGATGGACCAATGTTAAGGTAAGAATAAAGAGTGGCATCAGTGATTGGGAAGTACGATGTCAGCCATGATAGACCATCACAAACTTGAATGTGCAGGTGAAGCCCGTGTTCAACTGGCGTATAACTACAGTTGCTTGGGCTTGGAAGGTACGCACTGTCGTTTTTGGGATATTCTAATACTAATTCTTGCCTACAGTCGCCAAAAGTTTCGGTGGCTTTGGAAGGACCCAGTACAGCTCTGAGGAGAATCATTATTATCATACTCTCGGGGTGGAACACAAAGAGTTGCAAATAAGTGAGGGAAGGAAGGGATAAATGATGGAACTGGACTGTGTCGTATTCCAATAAGTCATCACAGGACCCTCCTGTTCCATTAAATTAGTTCAACAATACAGAACAGAAAAGGAAGTGGTACTAACGAAGGCTTTCATACAGAGTAAGGTGCTTGAGGTTTTGAAGACATGATGGTCGATCGAAAAGGGGAATTGAGGTATGTTCTATCGCAAGATAGACCAAATTCTTGAATGTGAGATGTCTGTTTTCGAAAAGCAGAATCTCCAAAATCTGAGAGGGAAAGCCATTCCGAAGGCAAAATCGTGACATTGCAATCGGTGCAATCAATCCATGGGTACTAGGCTTTTGAGCGTTTTGGCGAAAAGTCGCGATTTCGAGGTCGCTCAGTCTAGCTGTATATCCCCATACAGTGAGGCAGAGCGTTTCCAATAAAGGTGCATACGCCGTGATGCATCCCAAAAGGTCAAGCCATGCAGGCGATGATGGAAGTATATTTACATTCTGCAGCGATAGGTGTTTCAACCTCAACCTACTGCTCTGCAGGATGTCTGAAAAGTCGGTAAGAGAAGATTGAGAATCAAAGCGGTCAACAACCCAGTCGTAAGAGAGGGATTCAATGTGATTGGATGGAAGAGCACATAGGGCGCATATGTGGGCGTTGAGAGTAGGCTTGTACGTTCCGGGTCCACCGAAGTTACGAGTTAATACCCGCAACCTAGCATTCAGCGCGGAAGCCATCCCATGTAATAGACCTTTCGAGTCCCTTTCTTGTTTCACCAGCCTAAACATTCCGCTCGCATATCTGCCGATTGTGACAACCTTGATAGAGTGCACGATTTCCGGGGTGTGGAGAAGACGCTCGAACGCTTCTGCCAAAATTGTCATGCGATCAGCATAATCTCGCTCGTTTTTTGACGACGACGACGAGTAAGACAATAATGGTGCGATATGAAGGCGGCGGAAAAGATGTTTCCTAGTGCGATGAGGCCAGGATTTGGCGACAAGAGAGAGCGCTTTAAGATCCGCCGGTGAATCAGCGAGCTGGTCGATAAAAAGGTCAAAGATTTCCTGAGGGAATTGGGGCATCGAGCATGCAAGAGCTGTAGACAAGCTGTGGAAAAGTTTGATATTGTCTTAACATCGGTTAACGCGCACGGGCGCTTACACGTACATGTCCTTGAACCTTGCCTTCAAACCAACCTTGCCAACCCTCGGCGCAAAGACGAAAAAATCGTCCGCAGAATGGCTCAGGCGTCAGTCACAAGATCCTTTTGTCAAACAACGCGCTAGCATTCTAGTTGCCGCGTCTGGTAAAACAAAATCCAGCGTTACTGGTGCTGTGCCATCTACGAGTACATCGTTGTCATTTCGCTCCCGCTCTGCTTTCAAATTACTAGAAATTCACGAAAAGTATGATGGGTTTTTAACTAAACCTGATGTTCGAGTTGTGGTCGATTTGGGTGCTGCGCCAGGAGGATGGAGTCAAGTGGCTAGGAAAGTTGTGGACGAGTATGAAATCGAGGAGGCAGAGGAAGAGAAGATTAGAGAAGAAAGGAAGGCGAAGGCGAAGAGAAGCTGGAGCTGGAAAAACTGAAAAAGGAGGAAGAGGAAAACGAGAACGACACCTATCGTCGGAAAAGCCGCATAAGAAAGCCCAAAAACTTTAAACCCAAATCTGCGCCGAAACCCGCTCTGGATTTTTACGACCCACTCAGCGTCGATGACAGTGAATTTGACTATACTTCGTCTTCGCCAGTCAAAATCATCGCCGTGGATCGACTCGCCATGGATCCCATTCCTGGTGTACACACCTTGAAAGCTGATTTCTTACATCCGCAAACCGAGTCACTAATTGGTGCGCTTATTCGAGGCTCCAATTACAAGCTCACTCTATCCTCTGGTCCCCCGAAAGCCGACGTCATCCTCTCGGACATTGCACCTAATCTCACAGGCCATCCCGCTGTCGATTCCGAAGCCAATTTTCTCATTGCACAAGCAGTCATGCATTTTACACGTCAGTATTTGAGGACTGCAGAGGAAATAGGGCGGGGGAGAGGCGGAGTACTGGTATTGAAACACTTTGCTCATCCGACGATGGATACGTTTCGTCGGGATGTCCTGGAGAGGTACTTTCGAGATGTGATATATACCAAGCCGAAAGCGAGTCGTCAGGAGAGCGGGGAAGGATATTTTCTCTGTAGGGGATATTGGGGAGATGGCTTTGGGGCTGCGTTGAACTGAAGAGGTTTGTAGTGCTTATCACCTGTAATTTGGTGAAATATCAAACCATATACTATAGGGAAAGCAGCACGTATGTGTTTAACTGCCCCATGGCTTAGTTGGTTACAGCGTCCGACTGTTATGTGATCTCAAGCCGATCCTGTACATCGGAAGGTCGAGAGTTCGAGCCTCTCTGGGGCAGGTAATGGCTGGCTTGTTGAATGTTTTTAACCCGAAAATTCAGGTCATTGTTCCATTTACGACATGAAAAAATCGACGGCACGAGTAAAGTTGACTTTTGGACAGCTGAATGAGTTTGACTCGAGAGCAAGGCAGTCTTGAATGGCTAATTAGCTGTTCAAGTTGAAGGTCTATCTATGTAGCATAACATCTGCCATTGAAAGAGTAGGCCATTCTGGCTTCCGAATCCGCTCTGTCTCCTTGCTTTCTGGGCCTTCTTTGGAAACCTCAAATGCATTATCAAGACGAAAACATGACTTCCATGTCTTCATCCTCAATCAAACCTGAATCAGGATGTGATTCTGACTTTCGCCTCCCACTCAGGTTTGCAGTGCATATCGGTTTATTGGATGTAGGTCTGGACGGTGAATAGGAGAGGATGGGAGTGAGCAGAGGAACATATCACATACCCTGATCTTGAGTACAAGTGATGGACCAAACGTGCGATCATGAGCTCAAAAAGACCGCGAGAGAGATTTTGGGTGTTTATGAGCAATTGGGAAGAGGTATGGGTTCTACTTCGTTGTCCTCGTCCACATCAGGTTTATCCACTTCGGTGGGTAACTCTCCCTCTTCCTCAAATGCACCGAAAAACCGTCTCGCATCAAAATCCTCGGTGCAGCGGAACGAGGCAAAGGGTCATGTTGAACGTGCAATGGAGGTGTTAGAAGGGACAGGGCTGATACCCATTATGAGGGATAGGGACTGGGTCTGCTTCGTCATCAGCCGGTGCAATGACAGCAGGTAGTTAAGCTACAGGAGGAGACCTCGATATGGCGAAAATAACACGCAAAGCGGAAGAATTCAGATTGATGCATGAACTTTGTTGTTCGGTTTGTCACTAACATCTTCCACAGCATTCCACTCCTCCCAATCTCAACACCATCTCATGCAGACCATTCCTCTCCTTCGCAAAAAGTCCAGAGCAGCCATGGTCTACATGGGTCTCCTCATGTATCGATAAGTCCCGAGGTTTATGGGCATCTATCGAAGGGAGATGTGGAGGCTGCTTTGTAGTTGTAAGCGGGTCAGTTCATGTTGGTCATAGTTTATTGCAATGCTCCGTTGCAATATATATTTGATATGAAGTGGTGCTGTACTAGTATGCACTAAACCAGGTCAAAGCTGTAAATATCGGGTTCAAATTGGGCTGACCTTTCAACGACCAAAAGATTTTATGGAATTGTAACTCAAATTTACAGCGTAATACGCGGAACAGACCAAAAAGCGACTCGATATAGTATGTAGTATTTACATTTCCATCCATTTGATGATTGGCCTTTCGAATGAGCAAACGTCAAAGCGTAAGATATGAACACATCTTCAGATTTCTCTAGACCATTCAAGAGCTTCATAACGCACAACTTGCAATGCTTGAAAGTTGAAAATCATTCCGACAGCAAGGTCTATTATTCATCATAATATATCCAACTCGAAGCACCACAAGGTATGCAAGTGCTTGATATATATGGCCAGTCCGACTGGAATGTTGCTCCTTCCGGGGTACCACCATGCCTCACAGTCCAAGTCAGGAGTAATGAACGGTGTTGTGGAACATCCGGTTCGTTCACCCGTGGTTGTGGCAACTTTGCAAAGTTCATGGGTAAATACCCTAATCGCATTAATGCGGAGTAACTGGGCAAGTGTCCGCCCTATGATCCCTACTACTTATCAGCAGGTGCCGTGCCGTGCATAACTTAAGTCTTATATTTGCAAGCCGCCATGCCGTCCATAACTTATGCATAACCCTTCGATTGTCCTGGAACGCAACGTAAGTCTCAATTAGTCCAGAACGCAATCAATAATTTGTCATATCTTGATCAATACAACTAGTGCCTCGATATACCTAATAAGTTAAATCTCTTCGGGTATATCGGCCATATCGTCCCACCCATCCACTTCTGCCTCTTCCTCCTCCTCATCCTCCGACGCTCCGTCCATCTCATCCTCCTTATCCTCCGAGGCTACTTTCTCGCCCTCATCATCTTCCGCCCCTTCGAACGATCCCTTTTCCTCATGAAGGACACGCCAAACTGCTCGGAACCCTTCTGCGATTCGCCGATATGTGTCAGCTTGTGAAAGAGCATAAGCTCGTACCCCCTCCGTGTGTGCTGCATCCTTACCAGCCGCTAGTGGTCCTGTATAATCTGTCCGACCTTCCCATTCCTTCGTGTTGAACGCCAGCGTTGTCAAACATCGGTCCATTTCTGCTGATAACAAACGTATTTCCTCCCCCCACCTCGCCGTTCGAGCGTATGATTTACACCACTCCACTTGCACGATATCCTCTAGCACCTTCTGGTCAACAACCTCCCCAGTTCCACCCTCCATCCAGATCCACGACACATGTCTTCTACCCTCTCCCACAGCTTGACGAGCCCTCTTTAGCTTGTTCTGCACGCTTTGTCGACTACCTTGTGCCCCCTCATCCTCCTCACCCTCTGTCTCATCGCTTGAGGAAACTCCGTCGTTTGCGGCTCCCTTCTTGGCCTCCTCCCTCAAAGCCTCTGCCTTCTTCTTTCCCAGCCGTTTGCGTTCAACGCCAACCGCCTTATCCTCTCCTGCATCCATCCTTCTCACATCTCGCCCCTTCAGTTTCCTCCATGTCACATTGTCCTTCCCTCGTAGTTTCTTCATTGCCTGCCATGCATCCTGATACTTGGCCGTGTCCAGATCGATTTGCCTTTGATTACGCTTCAATACCGATTGCGATTTGACCACCATTCCCTGAGCTTTGACGTTCGAGGTCCGATATGTCAAGAGACGAGTTTTCATATGCAGGTGAGTTCGTAGATTTAGTAATGATGAGCGGAGCTGAGCATTACGCATCTCTTCTTCGATTGAGGCGAGATCGGAATGACAACCGGGTTCGCAACGTTGGGAAAGAGGAAGGTCGAATGGGAAGATAATCGGAACTTCCTCTGCGTGTTCTGCAGTAGAATTGTCGGATTCGCGATTAGATAGTAGTCTAATAGCAGCGGGCATGTAAATCTGTTGAATAGCACGTAATCGACCCAGCAGCCGCATAATTTTCGTTCTACGTTGAACGAGGATGGTCTTCTGAGCTGAAGTTTCGAAAGACCTAGCTGCCACATCCTGCTTGAGTTGGCGTCTGCTTTAAACGTCAATCTAAACAATTAACGTTGAAATTGAATTACGACTTACTGTAGCTCCTGTAGTTCGAGTAGTTGCGTCATAAATGCGCTGGGTCCAACAACATGCAGCGAAAACGCCCCTTCCTCTGCACGCTTGGCTTCCAGCTCCGTTAACTTCAAGCGCGTCTCGCTTTCGCTCATACCTGTATTGTCCTTTGGTTCAACCTTCCAATTGATAACACCAAAATAAAGACGTACCACCCTTAGGCATCTCGTAAGGATTCATACACCCCAACCTTTCCCCTGCTGGTCTCTCTTTATCCTCCTCCCAGTCAGTTATGGCTTTCAGCCAAGTAGCCGTAACTTCACCCCGCCCCTCTGTGAAGGCCTTTAATTCCTCCTTTTGTACCCGGTGTTCTTCTATGGCGCTCTTCATACGTTTCCGAAGTAATGTTCCTACGGTACATCAGTATGTTTTCAATTTCCACCAAACATATGCGACTGACCCAATCTCGTAAGTTTAACCCAGTTCCAATGACCAAAATGGTCATTCATGGTTCCATGACGTGCGCCAGGACCCATATCTCGAGTACTGGTTGCAATCGGACCCATATGCGCCCAGGGACGCTCAATGCCCTCGCCGTCTGTTCGACCTGCTCCCCATAGCCAATTCAGCGAGTACTCCAGCTGGCAGAAAATCTCATGGCCACCAATATGCAGCTTGGGAACCACAAAACGCGTGATCTGTTCTGCGAGATCTGTTCGAACGAGGGAAGGCAGGGCATTTAACCTTGAAATCACGTTTTTCGACCACTGGCAAGCTATGTCGTATGATGTTACTTTCGAGAGGGCAGGGTCATGATGGCGTAGCAGCGAGGCGTAGGCATAATCCATATTCGCATACCTAAATATAATCAATCAGATCAATAAAAACGACAATATTCTTGCATGCGTACCGTTCTCCTTTCTGTAAATCTACCGCACCGTTCTTCTGTATAAATTCGTGTCGCGCGCATACCCCCACTCCTACCCCAGTAGTAGCGTATCCTCTCGAATATTTCGTGTTGGCGTGATCCAATGCCGCCAGCCCAGTACAGGTAGACATCTGTAATTTAGCTCAGTCGCGTGAACACTCGGAATTCGAAAATGAAATCGCACCTCTCGTTGATCAGTTACAGTCAGGAGGAAATTCCTAAAAGGCTCATCCTCAGTGAAATACGATCCCCCTACATCCAGATCGGGGTCGCGCTTCTCTGAAGAAACCAAACGTCTCTTCAGACGAAAGCAAGCGTCGATGGCCAGGAACAGCCAGTACAGATACCTATAGCACATAGGTTAGCTGGAATCGCAGTTGAGACTCCCAACTACCTACCGGTCATTCTTAGGTGCGTTTTGCCAATCCTCAGGCAAATTTACACCAGGGCGCGGACACGCTATGCAAGATATGCCCATTTCACCAGTCTTGGTCTCCGAGAGAGTCCGTTCAGAATCGTTTCCACGCCCAGAGCGTTTGGCCATCTTCAAATGTCTCCATTCTCTCATCATGCGCGCGAAAGACTTGTATCGATCCTGACAAACAATCAGCTGGTTCGACAGCTGAGGGTTCACAGCTTACCTTGGTGTCTCCTAAACCCGCGTTGTTACTCAGTTTCTCGAGTCCCGCGTAAAAGTCGTATGTTGTCACTTTGCCTTGGAGAGTGAGGATATGGAACATATTTAAAACCTGGTATGTTGCTGCAGTACGGGGATCGACATGAGTTGCTGGAAACCAACGCCGACGCAATAGTTGTTGCCGCCATTCGCCTGCAGCGCGCCGCCCAGGGCAATCGCAATAAGCCAGGACGACATTGTGGATTCCATTCGTGTG